AACATGCAGAAAGACGACGACGACGACAACAACAATATAATACAAGGGATATGAGTCGAATTAGGGAGCAAGAAGGGAATGGGAGGAATCATGTAGTTGAAGTAGAAACTAGAATTATTGGTAGAGATCAAAAGGAGATGATGATCAAAGGAAGGGATGGAATTGGAATTGGAAATGGAAATGGAAATGGAGTTGGAGTCAGAATAGGAAATGAATTATCAAATAGAGGCACAAGGAAAATGGAAGGAGATGAATTGGTGGATGGATGGCCAAAATGGCTTGTTGATAACATTCCTAAAGAGGTTTTGGTTGGTTTAGTTCCAAAGACTGCTGATTCTTATGATAAGCTTGCTAAGGTAAGTTTCCCACCTCCTCCCGAAACCGAAACCGATTCAGGATTCTAACTTACGTGTTCAACCTTTAAAATTCTCAATAGCTAGTGAACCTATTATATATTCTTCGAACATTATGAGTACAAAATCTAATATCCATTGGAATTTTAATTGTTTTTCAAGATCTTGCCTTTGTGCATGAGACATTAAACATGATTTGAAATCAAAAATCAATGCATTTTAATTATTTTTGCAGGTAGGGCAAGGGACATATAGCAATGTGTATAAAGCAAAAGATAGGAACAGTGGGAAAATAGTAGCGTTAAAGAAGGTTAGATTTGATACATCAGAACGAGAGAGTGTAAAGTTTATGGCAAGAGAAATCATAATATTGAAGAAACTTGATCATCCAAATATCATCAAGCTTGAGGGCTTAGCCACTTCAAGAATGCAATATAGTCTTTATTTGGTTTTTGATTTCATGGAATCTGATTTAACTAAACTTATCAATCGCACTCAAGGAAAACTCACTGAGCCTCAGGTAAATGCTTAACTATTTTCCTCCTTTTTGTAATGTTTAGAGAATATTGCACAATTTAATTAGTGGCATTATGTGGTATTAATGACTTCCTAACTATTTATTGTTTTTCTGTTAATGTTTTGGAAAGAAAAAAAATTTTACTAATGAAAAGCGATCTACCTAAAATTACATGGGGAAAAAGTTATATTAAAAAGATTTAGAATATCTCGGAATTCAGACAGAAGATAGAAAACAATACAAACTGAAAATATCTATAGTTTGGGATTGAGGCTAGTTCTTATTATCGTTATAGACTGGAATATGTAAACGCGTACTCATCAAAGCATCAACCTTATGAGAATTAAACTTCACTATTATATGTTATTTTTCTAAATATAACTTATCCTGAGGTCAATTTGAAGTTATTTAAATTTGACACTAGATTCGCAAATTAAAGGAACCGAGACTACACTTTTGAACGTTTAGCAGTGACAAATTATTTTGAAAATCTAAGGGTCAATTGCGACTTCCTTCCCATTATTCTTCTCTTTAAACATGAGTGTATCTTTTGCAATTTATGAAGCTAAGAAAGTTCAAATGTGGAGGTCATATTTTAGGATTTTAGGGTAATTGATCAACGATTGAATTGAGTAAAAAACAGACAAAAAATCATGGATAATTGATGCAGACATTTTTTATAGTGGAACTAATCAAAATAGCCGTACCACCCAACCGTTTAAATTGAAAATAACCATCGGAGGTATAATATAATATATAATTTATGTATAAATGTTATATAGTCAACGTATAATCTATATGTATATCGGTCGGCTATTTGCATAAAAATTTCTTTCTTGTAATATATCTTCTAGTAATTAAACCTAATAAAATATATTTTAAACACACTTTGTAGGTAAAACGTTACATGGAGCAGTTGCTCTCAGGACTTCAACATTGCCATGAGAGAGGGATATTGCATAGGGATATTAAGGGGTCAAATTTGCTAATAGACAAAAATGGGATGCTCAAAATTGCTGATTTTGGCCTTGCAAATTTTTACCAGATAAAGACAAAAAGGCCCCTAACAAGTAGAGTTGTGACACTTTGGTACAGAGCCCCAGAACTACTTTTGGGTTCCACTGATTATGGAGTTGGGATTGATCTTTGGAGTGCTGGTTGCCTTTTGGCTGAGATGTTTGTTGGGAGGCCTATTATGCCTGGTAGGAATGAGGTAAACAAACATTTTTAATTTTTTTTTTTATTAAAATGTTATATCTTATAGGAAATTAAATATAAAATAACAATAATAATACCAACAATAAAATGCATTATTGTTGAATCGGGCTTTCGCCTATTGTTCAAAATTCTCCACTGTTGCCCCTGTGAGAGTTGGGGTCATGTCTCAATCACTGATCATTCGAAAAGACCAACTAAACATTATTGACTCACTTATCTGATAAGTTAATAAGTTAAGGTCTATTATATGAATCATTTGCGGTGATTCATCATAAATTAATCAGTATTATGTTAATTGTTAGCGTACTGTAATTCTTCTTCTTTATCTGGAGTTAGGACCGATAATATTAGCAAGCTCATACAAGCAAAGTCAAATTAATAGAAGTAAAGTTGAAAATTCATGGTATTTAAAAACTATAATAATGCTGTAACTTTCTTTTTTTTCTTTTTCAGATAGAGCAACTTCACAAGATATTTAAGTTGTGTGGATCACCAGCAGAGGAATATTGGAAGAAAGTGAAGCCACCAACAACATTTAGGCCACCACAAAATTACAAGCCTTGTTTTGGAGATGTATTTCCAAATTTACCTGATTCTGCTTTTCCCCTTTTATACACACTTTTGGCTGTGGAACCTCAATTCCGGGGCACTGCTGCTACTGCTCTCCAAAATGAAGTAAGTTACAAAATTTCATTATGTCGTTGTCATGCCTAAAAAAACATGGATTTCTAACAAAAATGTCTAAGTTATTTTACTTTCTTTTTTTTTTCGGTTTAACCATTCAGTATAACCCGATTAATTTAGAGTTGCACCAGATAGGCCATAAGAGGAATAAAGCACTCATGCATAAAGATTTTTTATTCTCGAAACTCGAATTTGGATCTTGTTAAGAATTGAAATATTTCAATCAAAATAAGTTCATCTTACTCCGAGTAGAACGAGAGTTAGTAGAATTTAGGGTGAAAATGATAAATCTGATTACAAGACATGAAATTGAGTGAGTTTGAATTGGTAATATAGAGCATTAGTAACCTTCTTGGAAGTAGCAAAATAAGTTGGACAAAGATCACTTTTAGCCCCCGGCAAAAATTATTTATATCCGATAATCGTAAAAGTGCATAAAATTTATATATTTTTTGTATATAGTAACATGCAGAAATGTGTGTGTGTGTATACACGCGCGCGCACACACACAAAAATTATAGTTTTTTTACTATTATTTTGAGATCGGTTATACAATATTATTTTTCCAAATAAACTTTTAATGTATAAGGGTGGTAAATACAAAAAAAAAGGATTCATTTCATAAATTCAGTTAGTCTTTACTGGTACAGTATATGTATATTATTGAGCACTAAAATTTTCCTAAACATTGTCTTAGTTCTTTATAACAAGTCCATTAGCATGTGGGCTCTCTGAACTACCAGTTATCAAAGTAGAAGAGGATGGGCCGGCCCAATCCATTGATATCACAAGGTATGTTTTCACTTCTTCCATTGAACTAAGGTTTCTAGAAAGAAAGAAAAAAAGGAAAAAAAGAAAATCAATTTGAAATATAGAGCTTTTTGTTAAATTATAATTTATGTGGAAGAAAAACATAGAAATGACACCAGTTAGCCATTCTAAAAGGCTACTATTTAGGAATTAGCTAATATGTTCTGAATTTCAGTTTTTCAATTTAATTTTTCGGGACACCAATATTCTGAATTATTCCGAAACTAAGATTTTTAGTTTAAATTTTTAGGATAAAAATAAGTACTGAATAATCTCTAAATAGCAGTCCTTCCCCAAGAAAAAACCATATTGCATACATGCAAATTTCAATTTGAAATGAATGTTTTTTAAGAGCTAGTATTTAAGTTCTAATTGAAAGTTATAGAACTTGGAATTGATCGTGAATACTACAAAGAAGAAAGAAAAATCAGAAAGCACGATTTTACTTTTTGTTGTTGTTATGTGGAGGGGGTATTAACATATGCTCCTTTCTTTTTTGATTTATTTATATAATTTATAAAGAGCAAACATAGGTAATTGGTCATATTCTTTTGTTTATTTCATTGCTTTTGCTTTTTCCATGACATAAGCGAGGGGTGGACTAAGCATGATTAAAATTTATTAAATATATTTCCTTTCCGCCAAGGGTCGTATAGTAATCAATATAATTTTGACTTTGGCTCCCTCAAAACATCTTTCTTTCTTTTTTTCTTTTTTCTTTTCCAACATTTGAAACCCAAACTCCAAAGTTTAAGTCGTTAATCATAGTGCTTAAGTTTTTTCTTTTGCTTTCTTATATTAAATAATTGCTCACTAGAATTCTCTCTCACACCCCTTTAATGTCATAATTACATATGTGATCATTAAAATGACTATCATTGTTCTAAGATGTAACTTAAACATCTTCTTAGGCAGTGCAAAACCACGTTTGAAACCTCTTTGTCGAAAAATTATTTTGTGTTGCTAGGTAAAAAAATATATTTTATACTTATATATTATATAATTAAATTTTCTTTTCTTTTTCATGTGTTTTATTTTTTATTTTTTGAGACCTCATAATAAAAATATTGGTTTTGTCACTCCTCCTAGACAAAAGTAATCATAAAAGTGAAGTCTTTAGGGACCAAGACAAGTTAAGTTCTTACACATGGATGTCACAAAATATACAAATATGTCACAAAATTCATTGTGTAATCATAGTCTTAATTCCATAATCCCGTGCAATATATAAGAGGATAATTATATCAGGAGTACAAGAAGCCATCATTACATTATTTCTTTTTCTTCTATTTCATTTGATAAATTACAACGTACAACAGATCTATATTTTATTTGTAAATATTAAATTAATTTATGTTAGATTTAGCTTTCAAAAAAAAAAGGCTTTTGATAATTAAATTAGAACAGAGATCATCATTTATTTATTTATCTATATAATTTATTCATACTAAGCCAAATGAGTAAATGATGTAATTTCATTGAAAAGCCCATGTTTCTACTTGGCGTAAAGATGGATTTATAAATTAGCTCTTCTTCTTTTTTTGCTATAATCATTAATTAAGACGCTTTATTTTATTTTCTCTAATCATTTTCCCTCTATTCTTTCAATTTTAATGTGGAGGGAATTGTACCACAGGAAGAAATCTTTAAAAGGCAAACGGGTTCAGAAAAATAAGGAGGGCTACCGGAAAATACTCTCTAATATTTCTGAACTTTCTGCAGAGGTAAATTCTCTCTCCTTTTCTTTTTAGTTTTTTATTAAATTATATATAAATAGAAAAAAGAACTACGTATGATAGGAATATGGCTCTTAAATTAACAAAATGAGGGGCACAAAAATGCAACTTAAGACCTAGTTTTCAATTTTTTGTAGTTTGAAGAATATATTTCTAGCTCCAAAGAACAATATTGAAAAACAGAATATTTTCTCGTGCCATACTGACTTAGTAGGCGTTTGGTCATAAATTTCAAATATTTTTTACTTTATTTGGAATTTATGAAGTTGGAATTTAAGATAAAGTTATGTTTGGTTATTTTTTATTTTTTATTTTGCAAAGCAGAGAGAGCACTTTATTTGAAATTTATGATGATGGAATTAGATTGAAACTTTACAACCAAACATTATTTTCGAAATAAAGTGAAAAATTATTCCAGAAAAAAGTGAATAAAATTCAAGGCCAAACGGCTCCTTAATGATCTTATTTCAGTAAATCATTCTTTTCACTTCTTCTCTATTTTCTTGATATTAAACCGAAGGTATGATAAAATGGTATACATTTTTATCACTCTATCAATTTTCTTCTCTATAACTTCATATTATTTATCTTAGAAAACATTAAGCTTTTCTTCAAAAATAGGACACAAATGCCATAAATGGTTCCACATGCATGCCACCAAATACACATAAGAGAGGTCGGCAATTTTATTGGTTAGACCAATTAACCTTGACTGAAGGTACTTTTGTCTAGCAATATTTGTAAGAGTCTATATATAAAAAAAATTAAGTGCAAGTTTAGTTATTTTTCTAACAAAAAAAAAAACAAAACGGAAGCACCGTTCTCCAAAAATTTGGATAAACTGTTCATATGATATTGTAAGATTTTAAAAAGAAATTGCACATTCACGTAGACGAACATTATTTGTCAATGTCCTGGATATTCACAGAAGCAGATGATTAATCATTTGTTATCGGAACAAATCGAATAAAGGGCATTTCTCTTTTGGGCTGGTCTAGTTATGCGCTGATGAGGGATTCCAACCCCGATATCATTGTTTACCCTCAAAATTGGATAGCAATTAAATTTATAAGTGATTTTAAGGATATGCGAATTAATTTGATACAAAACGATAAATTGAGTTAGAATGGACAAGTAAAAATACAATAAATTCAAACCACGCGAGGATGATTCCAGCATTGGTGAAGCATTCACCCTCGATCCGGGCTCACAATGGATAATTTTGATGAACGAGAGAAAAAGCTTAAAATAACAGTGAAAATAACAATATATTACTTTGGAATGTGTGTTTCTCTAGGTTCAGCTTCATATTGTATTTATTCAATATATCGAAGGTTTCCTACAAATGTTTCAAATGGTCCTCTGCTCGTAGGGACGTAACCAACATATCGTCAATGTAAACCTCCATTGATTTTCCTATTTGCTCTTCGAACATCCGATTTACTAGGTGTTGGTAAGTGGTACCGGCATTTTTTAGTCCGAATGGTATTACGTTATAGCGGTAGGTACTGTATTTAGTGATGAAGGACGTTTTTTCTTGGTCGCCCGGGTCCATCCGAATTTGATTATTCCCGGAGTAGGCGTCGAGAAAACTGAGGATCTCGTAGCCGGTCATGGCATCGATCATGCGGTCGATGTTTGGCAGAGGGAAAGATTCCTTGGGCATGCCTTATTTACGTCTTTATAGTCTACACATTCTTAATTTATTCCCTTTTTTAGGGATTACTATTATGTTTGCTAACCAATCCGGGTACTTAAACTCCCGGATGGACCCTATTTTAAGGAGTTTAGATACCTCATCCTTGATGAATGCATGCTTGACTTCGGACTGAGGCCTCCTTTTCTGCTTGACCGGATGGAACTTCGGATCCAGGCTTAGCTTGTGATTAGTTATCTCCGGCGGAATCCCTGTCATATCGAGGTGGGACTAAGCGAAACAATTTATGTCTTCTATAAGGAATTGAATGAGTTTTTTCCTGAGCTCAGGACTTAGCCTCGTGCCTAGATGTACCTTACGATCAGGCAGGTGTTCGATCAATATGACTTGCTCCAGTTCTTCGACTGTTGATTTGGTGGCGTCAGAATCATCGGGGACTATGAAAGATCAGGGAACTCCGTAGTCGTCGCCCTCATCCCTCCCCTGCTTCTCCGGTTCGATCGAGGCAGGTATCGGTAATTTCTATTTGATTTCGTCTCTGGCCACCAGACCTAGACCTTTCGATGTCGAAAGTGCGAATACCGGGATCACCTCGTCGACCGCGAACATCTCCTTTGCGGCCGGTTGTTCTGTGTAAACTGTTTTAATCCCTCATGGCATCAGGAATTTCAGCACCTGGTGCAGCGTCGAGGGCACTGCCCTCATGTTATGAATCCATGGTCTCCCGAATAGAGAATTGTACCTCATGTCTCCTTCGATCACGCAGAACTTTATTTCTTGAATGGTTCTGGCGGTGTTCACGGTAATATTATCTCCCTTTTAGTGGTTTCGCATGCCATGTTGAATCCTTTCAGAACCCTGACTGTAGGCACGATTTGGTCGTGTAGACCTAGTTGTTCCACGACCCTCGATCTAATGATATTAGCCGAGCTACATGGATCAATTAACACACGCTTAACTCGAAATTTATTTATGAGTACAGATATTACCAGTGCATCGTTGTGGGGTTATACGATGCCTTCAACGTCCTCGTCATTGAAAGACAAGGCTCTTTCTGGTACGTAATCTCGAGTCCATTTTTCCCTCGTGATAGACACTTTGGTGCGCTTTAACATCGGCCCCTGGGGAAAGTCGACCCCACCGATGATCATGTTAATGACATGCTGAGGCTCCTCCTGCTCGATCTGCTGACTAGAATCTCTATTCCTGAAATTATTTTTGGCTCGGTCGCTCAGGAACTCCCGGAGATGTCCGTTGTTGAATAACCAGGCTACTTCATCTCTCAATTGTCGGCAATCCTCTGTTATGTAGCCGTGGGTGCCATGATATTTACATATTAATTTGGGATCCCTTTGGGCTGGATCGTACTATATAGGTCGAGGCCACTTGGTGTCTTTGATGCGTCCGATGACAAACACGATAGCAGCAACATCAACGTTGAAGTTGTACTCCGATAACCTCAGCGCTTCCTTAGACCTAATAGGCCTGTCGAAACCGTTTTAGCTCATGAGCCCCCGGTTATTTTGACCTTGATCACTTCTCCTTTCATTTCTCACAGGGTTTCATCCAGACCCGCTACCCCTACGATCACCGTTGTACGGTTGATACCGATCTCTACTTGACCTTGGTTCATGATCAATCTCTCTTTTGGACCTGTCACTAGCTCGGATAGCATAAACACACCCGGAAGGGGGCCCAAGCTGATCATCTTCGCCCCTAATTTTTGATTGGTACGGGTTATGCACATCTACCCAAGTTACAGCCGGATATTCTACCAGATTTGGCTTGAACTTCTGCGAAGCCAATGAGCTTCGAGTATTGAGTCCTTGGGTGAAGGCCTGAACGACCCAATCATCTGCCACCGGCGGCAGGTCCATCTGTTCCATTTGAAACCTTGACACGAACTCCCTAAGCATTTCGTTATCTCTTTGTTTTACCTTGAAAAGGTCCGACTTCCTGGTCTCGACCTTGATGGCTTCGGCGTGCGCTTTTACAAAAGCATCTGCAAGTATAGCAAATGAGTCAATAGAATTGGGGGGCAAGTTGTGATACCATATCATAACTCCTTTTGACAAGGTCTCTTCGAACTTTTTCAGCAGGACAGATTCGATCTCATCATCTTCCAAGTCGTTTTCCTTGATGGCGTACGTGTACGAGGTCACATGTTCATTTGGATCAGTTGTTCTGTTGTACTTAGGAATTTTAGGCATGCGGAACTTCTTCGGGATCGGCTTCGGATCCGCGCTCGGAGAAAAAAGTTTTTGAACAAACTCTTTAGAGTCCAGGCCTTTCAATATCGGAGGTGCTCCGGGGATCTGATCGACCCTGAAGTTGTAGGTATCCACCTTCTTGTCGTTGGCTTCGATCTTCTTTTCTTCTGTTTCTACCCGTTCTGTCAATTCCTCGAGCATCTTTATTATCTCAGGGTTGGTCCCGGGTTCAGCTTCATTTAGCCTATTTGTGGCTAGTTCATTTCTGTGAGTGTTTTTTCGAGACGGTTCGGGCTCAACTCTACTAGGAGTGCGGCTTTGGTTCTATAGTTGGGCTATCGCTGCCTGCTGAGCTTGCAACATTTTGAAAATCACCCGTAAATTGATCTCATCCCCTTCACCGTCACGAGTATTTTGGGCTACCGATCGGACTCCCTCGCGGACGTTGTTCGCATGATCAGTGGGCAAATTTGTGTTAATGGCCATATGTGAGTTGGCACCCACCGTGGGGCTAAGGATAATAGTGGCAATTTGATAAAAAATTATCTATTGTGAGCCCGAATCGAGGGTGAATGCTTCACTAAGGATGGAATCATCCTCCTCGCGTGGTTTGAAATTATTGTATCTTTACTTGTCCATTCTAACTCAATTTATCGTTTTGTATCAAATTAATCCGCATATCCTTAAAATCACTTACAAATTTAATTGTTATCCGATTTTGAGGGTAAACAATCATGATTTGTAGCCACGTGTACTAATCCTCTGAGTTACATGCCTCATCCAATTAACTTCTAATTGAGCCTTAGTTGATATATTGCATGAGTGATCAAACTGCATTTTACTATAAATGTATTAGAAAATTTATTAAATATTTATTGCAAGCTCAATAACTAAAATGTGTTATGTTGAGAACTCAATAGCGTTTGATAGCATATTCAGTACTCATAAACTTTAAATCGTGACTCCGATTCTGATTTTACAAAATTATATTTAATTGATTGATGAGCAGGAAAAAGGAGAGTCAAGTATGCAAGGTCATAGTGGTGCAAGTAGCAGTTCATTTTCCTTAAGCAGCAGAAGGAATAAATATAGCATTCAAAGCCCTCCTCCTTCACCAACTCCAGCTTTCAAATTTAGAAACAAAATGAACCAAACTGCTAAAACTGAGGCACATCCTAATGCTCTCAAAAACATCAAGAATTATCCCATTTTGTTAGCTTCCATTACTGAGGCTGCTAAGCATTATGAAGACAACAGATTAAGCCTCAATCGTAGGGCTATCTCCACCATTGATTTCAGAAATCATCATGATCTTGATGATAACATCTCTAAGCTATTCAGCTTAGACCATAATTAATTAAAAAAAGTTGTTTTATTAAGTACTGTTTAATCGTGTATTTGGTTTAGACGTGTTATAATTGTCTATGTTCAGTTTGGTGCACGAATCATCTCGCGTTTACGCAAGATGTTATAATTGTCTATGTTCAGTTTGGTGCACGAATCATCTCGCGTTTACGCAAGATGTGTTTGGTGCACGAATCATCTCGCGTTTACGCAAGATGTTATAATTGTCTATGTTCAGTTTGGTGTTTCAAGATCCGAGAAAGGGCCGTACCCCAAGGGTGTGAACAAGTTGAATATGTGACCTATAAATCAGACAGCTTTATCATTCCTCCCATGCTCTCCTTCTATAGTTGTCTGTGTATTACTATAAAATTACTTGATGAAATAAAGAGTACAATTATGCAAAGATTTTTTCCTAAATTATTGAATTGTGATGTTTTTTTCCTTTAATATGCTTAAACAGGTTTTGGTATAACTAACAGACACATTAACTAAGGGACTGGTGGCAATGATTAATGGTTTTTTGTTTATTGAATCATTCACTAGATATTTGGTTTAATAACGGCTAGGATAGGCAGCGGCGGAACTAGAATTTAAAGTTTTTGGGCTTTGAATTTATCGCTAAACTCATAGCTAATCTTATTTATTGGGGTTCGCAATTAAATATTTATATTAATTTAATAAAAACTATCGGATTTGACCAAGGGCTATGAGGATAAGTAGTACTCGACATGATAAGATTTTCTTTTCTTGTTTGTTTGTAAACAAACAAACGAGCCCGTGGAAAAAGGTTGTCCCACTTCTCATACTTTGAGCAAAGGGGAAGAAAAGGGGGAAAATAAGAGGTAAATTATTGGTAACATCATCAATTGAAAAAAGAATAGACCCACCCAACGTGTGATAGAAGTAACTTTTTGAGGTGTTTGTTTTATTGAACAAATAATTAATAAAGTAATCTATATTATTAGTGTAAAAACATTTTACATTATATATTAATATAATTAAATCTGTAATAGTAAAATAGTCATCATTTTATTAAGTTACCAATTAATGAACACTATAGCGCTCTGACATGTTAATAACTAATTTGTTGCAAAAAAAGGTTAAACACAATTGCACTAAATATATAATCAAAGTCTGAACCCAAGATCCATCTTGATATATAGTTGATGGGATGAAACACAACTTCATTCAAACTTAACCCCAAAAAAAAAGTACAAGAAGCATATAATTATTATGTACAATAATCACTTCTTCCTAATTCATAACCGCAAAAAAGAAAATAGGGAAATCAAGTGCGTACAAGGCCATGTAACAAAAGATGCTTAATTTTCCTCTTAATCACACCACTAATCATAATAATTATCGGAAAATTTACTCTTTATCCATTTGAAACTGTTCCTCAAAGATGTTTTAAGCTTACCTTCCATAGAATACATGTTATAACTAGCTATCCTTTTCTTCCTCTTCCCCTCAGAATTTTGGCCCGGTCCATTAAAACTATAAGACTTGGTTCGATCCTCGAAATCAAATCTTGCTTCTGTATAAGATGCAGAGTGATAAGGGAATGATTTACTCTTCTCCATTATCAAGAAAATAGAAAGCTCAATAGGGTTGGGTTGTTACTTGTTAGTAGAAGAAGAAGTGTATATATGTATATGAAAATAATAATGTTTTAGTGTACGTTAGTGCGTTATGTGCATGGGCCCTGAAAGTGACTTGGATTGATAATATTTACAAGATTGTGGTAGGCTGGTAGCTTCGAGATTCTTTTTTAATATATATCATAGGATAAAATGTGTATATAATACTTAGCTGGATTTGGTGAATGTGTGGGTATTTGGTTGTTTTGGGAGATGATGGGAAATTTAGGCTTATTTTGGTACAAAGACGACAAAGAAAAGCATATCAATTGGTGGTTGAGCCAATCTTGGGTAGTGCCCATAAGCTTATTAAATAGGTTTTTTTTATTGATTTTCTTTTAATTATTATTTAAAAAAATAGCATCATTTATTATTTATTCGATAAAGAACACTTTTTTTTTCATTATTAACATATTATAAAAATTAAGCTCAATATTTAATAAGTCAACTGACTCACTAATCACATGAAAGAACTTTTTTTTTTGTCCTTCTCCCTTCTCCCTTTCCAACATTCAGAAGAAAAAGAAGGAAAGCTAATAGATAAAAAAAAAAAAAAAAACATGATTTTTGTACAAAGAATTATTGACTTTCCATTCAAATTGCTTATGTTTAGGGATTAATAATTATTATTCCTATTTTAATGGAACTATGTGCTACAAATATAAATATTTTCCTGCCACAACTGTAATATTGGGTTTCCTGTTAAGAATTTGTTATATTTCTTTTAAAACTGTGACAGTTATGTAAAGTTCTCTATTAAATAATGTGTTCTATTCCTAATCTTGTTTTCTTATTTCAAATTTATCACAACTTTCTGAACGGAAGGAGCTTGTTGTTTATCTTTTGAACGTACTTAAAGTTAGAATTATTATATACCAAGAAGGAAAATGAGTAAATTAAAGTTGGAATTGATTCTGCAGAAAGTGGGTGAAAATCAAGTTATAGGTAGCCACGACATTAGAACTTATAAAACTTGTTAACTACATATTACATGGCGAATTGATAGAAATCTTGCACATTTTTTATGAGAAAAAATGGTTTCATTTGTTTTAGAAGAAGTTTTTAGGGGTAGGTACGTTCAATAAACAAAACAAAAAAAAGGATTTTCATATTACAAAGAAACCCAATAGTCAAAAAAAAAAAATGAAGATCTAGTAAACTAAAATGGTAATACAGACAAGATTAATTTACCCTAAGATTAATAGTCCCGTTTGCTCTAATGTCAAAATAATCATTATAAATTTATAATAAAGAAAAGCTTCTCGTGAAAATTAAAATCCAGACAAACTGGATAAAAGGTAGAATATTCCTCGTTTTCCTCTTTTATTCTTTTTCTCTTTCTATTGTTTCCTTTTTGTTTTCCTTTTCTTTTGTTTTTTATTAAACAACGGAGGGGTTGAGGGGTTAGAGTAGTTGGAATGTCATGAGTCCGGGAATATAATTTAATTTACTGGATTTTTTTAAATTTATAATTTATATATATTTAATAAATTTTTTAAAATAAATATAAAATTTAAATAAAAAGTTACTGAATTCAATCAAACGCACACGTATCCCGTTATCAAGTTGGGTTGAACTCCACTTACTTAACGTCATAGGTATTGTGGGCCCAGTATGACGAGACTTTGACATGGAAAATGGGGCCCAATGGATTTTGAAGGAGACAAAACTAACAGTAAGTGGGCATTCCTCTTTTAAGATGTCTAAAAACTGGTGTTCCTGCATTTACTTCTGGACCTTCCTTGTTCCCTGCTCATTTTACATTGAGTAATCTACACCGTATAAATTTTATATTCGAGTTTTGAGAATATATATATTTTTATTATTATTATTATTTTATTTTTTATTTTTAAAAAAACGTTATTAGACAGCATTTTCCGCTTAATAGACAAATTCTATAAGTCAGACTAATGAATTTCAGATACAGAGATGCTGTGCCTGCACATTCTAACTTTTACAATCCAACCTAAATCCATTTCCTTTAGGGTTTTTTTCTTTTCTATTTATCGATTGTTAAGAAGATGTAAAGATTGAACTTTACGAAATAAACCCAAATAAGGGCAAATAAAAATCAAGAAGCACAATCAATTTAACCTAATTGCATCTGCACATAATTTCCTTTAGATCCGAGATTAGCAAATATGCCATCTCCTGCCAGCAAGGCATCTAATATTCTGTCGCACATGTGCTATTGTTGGTGACGATCTCGATGTAAATATTTTGACAATCTGTTAATAGAATACTTCCAGAAAGAATGATTCGTTTAGTAGGGTGCATCTAAATCTTGATGCGAATATATATACATCTTTCAACTGCTTCTAAAATATAATTTCATACTTTAAAACCTAAATTGTAAGAACTATAATTCATACTCCAATCCTAAAATTATTTACCAGTGCTTGCAAAACTGTAGTCAAAAGACAAACCAAACAAGTTGGGGGTAAGGAAGGAGTAAGGATATCTAAGTATGAAAAAAACAATTTGCTCCAAATAATCTTAACGAACTTCTAGCCGACTGAACAAATAGCAGTGTTTAAATTTAATCAACTAAATCAAAAATAAACATCTTTGGTAAATGCAAGGAACTCCTTTCAGAATATAGAACAATTAAAGAGAACAGCTAAGCTATCATTTCAATGCAGTTAACACCAACTCTTTACCTACTATTACGGCAACCAATTGAAATATACAATGAATATACTAATTCTCTTTTTAGAAAGGGAATTCTTAGATGAGATTTGCTCCAACCAGTAGCCCATTTGCTCCAATCTTGGTGGGCATGATTACTTTGGCAACCTGTGCTTTGTTGGCTGGATAGGTTAAACAGTGAATTAGTCAAATTAGTCAAGATGCACGCAAAATATACGTGTCACAATCGATAACCTCAACAAAGAAAAAAGATTATTCAGCAGAATGCTAGCTGAAGAAATCGGCTCCTTTTTCAATGTCATCTGTCTTGATGCTTCCAGATTGAGCCATCAATATTCTGTATACTCTCCTTGAACAGATCTCTCCCAATTTTCTATCATCACCCAACATGTTTTCGACTTTCAAATCTTTCAGCAGAAATTCTTTCTCATGTACCTGAAATTCTCAAGAGAAAATATGTCAGGAACTCATGTTACTCCCAAAGGATCAACATATTTAATGAATGATATGTATCGAATCAGATCACTCCTTCACTATTATTTGTTTAAGAGACTAAATAAGTATTACAAAACAAGCGAACATGTTTCCACAACATTTAAATGTTCAATATTATCAAGTTCTTGTTTAAATGGATCTTTTGAAGGGCGCCTTAACAGTATCCTCATTGCTCAGGAATGAATTACATTTACCAAACAATACCAGCTCCACAATGTAATTTGTCCACTAGTAAATTGACCTTTCTTAAGCATATACCCTCCAGATGAACTGAATGTATGATGATTAGATGCAGTTTTGATGTTTTCACTCTCTTTAGAAAGTCAATTTACCAGATGAACTGAATGTATGATAATCAAATGCAGTTTTCATGTTTTCACTCTCTAGAGAGGTCGTCATTATTTGCGACATCTCCAAAAGCAGATATCTGATTTAAAGTTAACAACGCTGGTGAAAATGGGAGGGATGTTTATCCCCTTCAAACTAAATAATTGACTACAAAACCTGCTTGAAATCCCTGATATCATAAGTATAAGAAATAAGAACTAGGTACTAAACACAAACGTAAAGACAACTAAACCTAATATCTAAGGTAAAAGTTTAATTAATCAGCATTGAAGCCTGGATATATCACATAATACCCAAGGGGAAATGAAGGAAATTTTATCGCATACCGATTTACTTGGATCCATGTAAACATGCAAAAGAGATTTCATTGTGGGATATTTCTTCCATATGGCAATGGCAAATCGAGGCTGAACCTTTGGAATAGCCACCAATGCTTTCAACCTGCATGAGAGGACAGTTCATCAAATAATAAATGCAGCACCCAAAACCAATGTAGCATCAAAGACACCAAAATGGGTAAAGTGGTAAACACGTGTAGAAATGGGTAAGCCATGATGGTTTACGGGATGGTAGTTTTCTTTTACCCACTAACATAGAATTAACAAGTTTGAAACTTCAACCCAAAAAGAAGCACCAAAGTACACTAGAAACTAGCCAAGGCAAAACTAGCTAAACTGTGATCATAACTCTGTCCCCTTTGGAGTCGAATGCAGCAGAGAAGACGGGATAAAGTGTCAGCAGCAAAGGATAAATATCTCTCTAAGTATACAGGACTGGTGATAGAATATGTACATAGAAAAAGAGAAAAAATGTGACTTGAAACTCAAAGATAGAGAAATAACACAAATTTGCAGAATTTGACAAAACTAACTTGGAACACGTTCCCTGCATATAAGTATGATCTTGCTTTGCTTTGATAAGCTCTAAAAGATGACTGCAAGAGCTTAGCAACATGAAGAAAACATTGAATTAGAAGGTTTCCCTGGGCAATATTGAGGGCCTAGCACAAGTGTTCAATTGCAAGGCCGGGGCACTTCCAACAACTTTTCTTGGTTTACCACTAGGAGCATCTAACAAGGACCAAACTGTTTGGGACCTGGTGATTGAAAGGGTGGAAAAGAGGCTAGCAGGTTGGAAAAAAAGGTACTTATCCAGAGGAGGAAGGAAGTATTGATCAAAAGTGCAAAATCGAGTATCCCCATATAATTCAGGTCCTTGTTACACGCTCCAGTTAGTGTTACAAGGACGTTTGGAAAAGATGTAGAGAGATTTTCTATGAGACGGTTCAAATGGGGAAAGTTTCACTTGGTAAATTGAGAGACTGTCACCGCACCAAAGTGCTGGGGTGGAATTGGGATTAAGGATCTAACGGTTTTAATAAGGCATTACTGAGAAACTGGTTATGGAGATTCGGGATAGAGGAGAATGCTTTTTGAAAGGAGGTGATTGCGGAGAAGTATGGTGTTTTAGAAAATGGGTGGAGAACAAAATATGTATCACTTAATTCGTGTGGGCTATAGAGAAATATATTGAAGGGTTGGGAAGAGTTTAATGGAAACATATCATTCAGGGTAGATAATGGGAGTAGGGTAAGTTTTTGGGAATATAAGTGGTGCGGGGACAACATTTTGTAAATCACATTTCCAAACATGTATAGAACCCCATGCCAAAAGGAAATGTCAATCAATCGGGTGTATTGGGATTTTGAATTTTAGGAGGAACTTACAAAATTGGGAGGTTGCAGAATTTTAAAATTCGGTCAATTGCTTCACAAAGAGCTTCTGACTAGGGAAAAGTGTGTTTTCTCCCATATCTCTGTATGGATCTCTAGGGCACTGGGAAAGGTGTGTTTTTTCACTTGGCTAGCTGTGAGGGCGGTGATCTTGACAGCAGAGAAGATGAGGAAGAGGAAGATTAATTGTGTCAGTTAGTGCTTCATGTGCAAAAACTCAAGAGAATATGCAAATCATCTCGCTTTACATTGTCGGATCGCGTCCTATTTGTGGTGGGAAACCCTGAGAAAGTTCGAACTCCGGTGGGTTATGCCAAGCATGATGAAAGAAGACGGAAGAGAAGAAACAGGCAATGAGATGTGGCTTCTCTAGCATCTATGTGGATCGTTTTGGAGAGAGACAAATAGGAGAGCTTTTGATGGAGTACAAAAGGATTTTGCACACTTGAAGATTAGAGTCTTATTCCTTATTTCTTTTCGGTGCACCTATGATGTTCCTATATGCATAGAAGATTGAGTGTCTTTTGAAGAAAAACATATCTTTTTGTAAGGTTTTCTACGTTTTGATATAATTCTTGTATGTGGGTGTTTTTTTGCCCTCTTTTAATAAAATTTATTACTTTATCAAATTATATAAAGAAGTTTCTTGGTAAGAGAAAAATTTGTGCCAAAACAGTAATCACAACCTCAGGAGTACGTTATCGGCGTTTGACCATCACATGTGTTTATGGGCATTGGGAAATTCCAAACTTAGAAAATCAAAAACAGCACAAGCACTTACCAGGGGCTTTTTTTTATCATGTCCTTGTCAACGCAACTCTTGGGAATAAGAGAACCATTTGCATTGACAGATAGTCTTGTTAATTTGTTTCTGTAAAACAAAAGATCATGAACTTCTTAGTACCGAACATCGTAGACATACAAAACAGTAGAAGGAAACATTAACATATTTTTCTTCTCTATTTATTATAGGCAGGTTGACCAAATAAGGAAAGTCCTTAGGCATCTTGCATACTGAAGATATTATGCCTCAAGCATCAGCAATTTTTTAATTTAAAAATACCCCTAAGTACCCTTACAGCCCCCTTAAGTACCCCCTTTCCCCGTAGGACTGGTAGTGGTAGCGCCGTAGCGGTATGGTACCCCCAAAAAATCCACTTACCCTGTACCCTTAATTCCCCTTAGCCNACACACACACACACCGGTACTGCCCCTTTACGCAGTCCCCTTGAGTACACAGAACCCTCCCTTAGACAGCCCTAGTCTCCAGGAGATGAACCAGGACTTGATAGCCTTCCATTATAAACTTCAAAAGTATTTTGCTTTGAAAAACTCTTTCAGTTACCGGCCACCCTTTACTCCTCAATAACATACTCCAAAACTTTTAACTTGAATACAAGTTTCTTTGACAAATCATTAATCTGTTAGAAAGTATTGATTGTCGCCTAAAAACTTTGCATACTAGCACTAACTTAATTATCCCAAACACTTTGTGTAATATGTACATCACAGAAGCATTTGGGGCTAAACTTCTGTAGCTAAATTGAAGTTTCAATGACACAAAGCCAATCATAAGGAAGCACAGGTGTTGGAACTTGGGACACTCCTTGAAAGTCAATGTTAACTTGTATTTTTTATGCAATTATTTAACATACTATCTTCAACATCAGGGTAACCATATATACAAGCAAAATTTCTCCACCAACATTCAGACTAATTTTCTTAAATATTATTAATTATTAAGTATTAAACAATGATCATAGCACTTTGACATATAAACTAGCTATTAAACACCATAATAAGCTTGGAGGATACTAGTTATCCTATAGGATATTACTATTGTGAAGATAAGAGTCGAGAGCAACACCAAACCCTGACTCTACCTTGTGATAACTATTAAGACTCTTTGAGCACGAGTTGAATTCTTTCAATATAAAAACAGTCTCAGCCCAAAGTACGAAGATTAGGGAAAATAATGACTCTAATGCAGGTCACTGTTCTAGATTAATCCATAAAAACTAGCGAATACAAAAAAAGAAAAAAGAAACATGAAATCCAATTCCCAGATTATGAAGCATTGAGCTAAGGGATCACTTGATTCAAGGATTTTCTATGCAAGGATTATCATCAAGGGATAGTTATAGGGCAGCCCGGTGCACAAAGCATCCTGCGTTCACGCAGGGCCCGGGGAAGGGCTACACTCTAAAGGAGTGTGATGTAGGCATCCTGACTTGATGCAAGCATCAGTAGTTGATTCCACGGCTCGGATCCGTGACATATCGATCACACGGAGACAACTTGATCGTTGCTCCAAGGCTCCAATAAAGGGAGAGTTATACGATGAATAATAATGAGAGAATTTTTTTTTTTTTTGATAAGGGTAATGAGAGAATTGTTATTCAGTGAATAATAATGCAGGGATTATAATACGATGAATAATACAGGAATAGTCATGCAGGGTGCCTACTTTAACGGCATTTGTATTTACATAATATTATTTTTTGTTCCACATTTTACCTCCCCTGGAACAATATATAGATGTTTGCATAAGTTATATTAGTACTAATTATACAAAGTTTGATTGGATGGAAGGTGCTTTTTATTTTTATTTATTTAACTTAATGAATTTCTTTCTTTTAATTATTGGTTGTAATTTTTAATTCTAAGTTATACATGTTAAAATCTTATTGGTCCATTTGCCACGTAACCAGCGATTACATTTCACGCATGTGATGTGTTGAATGAAGGTGTTCAGAAGATACACTTCTGGCAAGTAGAGGTGTCTAGTTGGTCAATTGGAAAGTGAAGGTGTTCAACTGATTGTTAGTGACAACTGACAACTTAAAGGGGCCGTTTATGTATTTCGCCTATATTGGATCCATTGCATTGTCCAAGAATTTGAGTACACTGAGATATGACTTTGACATACCTAAACTGACAAGAAGCTAAGCTGTAAGTCAGCCCAGCTACATGTTCAGCTAATTCAGCTTCATCAACACAATGTCTTGAATGCACCTTAACGAAATTAATTGTTAACTTGGATAGAACCTGCCCAAAATATAAAAGGAGGAACTCAACACCCAAGGAATACCACCAGAATTTCAAGCTTACATGAATCAGACAATTAAAAATTTCCAATAATTACAAGAACAAGTGTTGCAACAACCTCCTCTATAGGTGGCCGTTTCCAACCAATATGATTGGCAGGGTCCTTGTATTGACCTTGTTCCCTATCACCAATAGCAGTAACAATTATCAGTCATTAAACAAGTATCCCAGTTTGTCGCAGATGATTATAGATGACAGATATGAACTTCCTTCATAGTAGCTCTTAAGCATACAACAACAAACCCAGTGTAACCCCGCAAGTGGGGTCCGGGGAGGATAGTGTGTACGCAGTCTTATCCCTACTTTGAGAAGGTAGAGAGACTTTTCCGGTAGACCCTCGGCTCAAGAAATAGTAGCTCTTGAGCATGATAAGTTGAAATGCATGATGGAAGATGATCAAATTTCACTGAAAGCATTAGCATATGAAAAGGTTACACTACAATTCAAATGACTACTCATTCATCTCAGCACTTTCAAACTGAATCAAAGCTTTAGATGCTCGTTGAATTAGGTGAATAGCGTGTGCCTCTCTAAAAGCTTCAGCTATTAGAGAGGAGAGAAGACACGTTTATTTACTTACATTAGGTCTGCACATCACCCTCACATGCGAGCTTGAATCTTTTTCTTGAACCAGGCACATGAAAATTCTATATGATAATGGGTGATACTCGAAACCAAGACCTTTGTCTGCTGCAATACCATGTTGAGTTGTGTGACCACCTCTCTAAAAATTAAAATTGGACACATTTATTTGCTTATATTAGGTCTGCGACGAAATCATTCGAACCATGGATTGTGGTACCTTTTGCAGGAATACATTTGGTAGTGCCTTTAACCACTGCCTCAATGTGCATCAAATGGAGCATGTTCAAGAAACATTAATCTAGCAAGCATGCCTTCTCTAAGTCATCCAAAATGATTGGTTGCATGCATCAGGTGAACTATGAGACATCTCCAAAGATGTTTTCATGTAGGAGTTTATTGCACGTTCAGCTATATTTCAGGTATTATTTTAGTTCAGACACTTATAGGATACAAATATAAAGATCTTTCGGCAAAAAGAAAAGCAGATTTTTCAATGTTTGTGCGGGGCTTTATCTCTCTGTCTGGTCTCTTCTCTTCTCTTTATTAGCAAATTGTTTGCCTCTTAGAACACAAGTCTTAACCAAGGAAAACTAACAAGCTTAAAATTGAAAAAGAGTTGGAATAAAGGACAAAAACAAGTATTGTCAACCTTTTGTTGATGTATGCCATTAGCTTGTTTGTGAGATAACAGACTGTATGAAGAGGATAAAGGCGTTGAACACGGGAAACATGACTCATCAATGATTCGCTATTCACGAGGTCGCAAAACTCCTCGGCCTCACATATGATTAATATATATGGAACTTTGATAACTTCTGATGAAATCTGCGCAGAGTAAGAGTCTAATGACATCAAAAAATTGCAAAGGCTAGAAATAGAAGCTATCCTTAGATAGAACCAATGCAAAAACTTGGAAACTGTAGCAGCAGAAGCATACAATTGCCATCATACACAACAGATGGAAAGCTCAAACAAACTTTTGGCACAGTTCAAAAAAAAACTTTGGCCGAGCTATCAAAACACTGAGACCAGCACTAAGCTCTTTTCTTGTTTGATCAAGTAGACCAGCACTAAGCTCTTTCTAACCCCAATGGACATCTGACATTATTCTTGGGATGTAAGTGTTACTTTCTTCGTTTAGATTCAAAAAATGGGGGGGGGGGGGGGATGAGGATAGTGGGCCGACACACACAAATGTGAATGTGATGAAACATTAAACAACAAAGGGAAATTTGTGGGAGGGATAGAATCTGCAGCAACTCTTAAGGAGGACCAAAAGAAAGAAAAAGGAGAATTGGGAGAAAACTGTAGGCTGGCAAGCAAATTGGTGCCACGAAACCCCTCCAGCCGCATTAATTCCACAAGCTGTAATAGGATATCAACACCCATTTGGACTTGAGCCACAACCGCAAAAATTCAAAATAACAAGGTATTTCATCTTATTTGATACATAGTCACACAAACGCACACACATCTCTATAGGGGTTTGAGTTAAATTGTAATGTTGGACACAAATACATGCGCATATATATAACAGGTTTGAGTAAAATTGCAATATTAAAGCTTGGGTATTATGAGATTTCAGTTAAATTGATGGAGTTTGGTCTCTACAGGAGTGTGTAACCTTAAACATGAAATTTTATTACCAGATAAGGAAAAAGAAATTTGCTTCTGCAAAGATAATCATCATTCAAATGGATATCACATAAATATGTACATATTTGAGCACCAAACAGTCAGTTGTGAAACTATTATTCTACTAAAGCTAAATGTGTACAAAAGTTAAATATTTGACACGTTAAAAAGCAATCATAACAAGGTGGTTCGAGATGACAGGCTAGCTGAAATCTGCCAAGATTCTGAAGAATAAGTTACCTTCGATATTTCCTCCGGAACACTCATTGACCACACAATAGACTTTTCAATTGGATTTGATGAAACTCGGAAGGAAAGACCTTTTTCCGCAAGCCTTGATAGCAAATGACCTGACTTAGACAACATAACCATGTAAGACAGTTGTAATGCATAATAATGGACAAAGGAGAAAGGGAGAAACAAACAGAAAAACAAAATCTACCTCCGATCGATCCTAGTTCCACAACTTTGGTGTCAATGTGAGCTACAATAGACTTAAGGGCAAACTTTCCCTTTTCCCACTTTTCCTTTTCCTTTTCTCGCTTTTTTATCTCTGCAGCTTCAGCCTTCTGGGCCGCCTTTTGCAATTTCTCTCGCTATATAATGCACACTAGATTATATGCCAGAACTAATTAACCTCATCCAAATAAATAGGTTTTTGTTGGGAAGACTTACCTCTTTCTGCTGCTTCTTTTCTTCATTTAGGCGAAAGCGTTCATCCTTTGACATCCTCGTTTTCCCTGTTACTTCATCTACACTGCTTCTGTTACTTTTCTTGCCTTTGCCTTTACCTCTCGGTCTTGAGATGTCATCGTTTAACTCCAAAATATCACTTTCGTCGTCAGGATGACCATGGTCCTGAAAGCAAACTAGACCGTCAAAATTTACGTAGAGACAAGGCCTTGCGAGAATTTAAAGGGACTTCTAGACAAAAATACAAACATATGTTAAGAACCGTGCTTTTGAGCGCATCCTTCAAGCTAATTATTCAAGCATATCTCTGGATCGAATTATGATCTCAAGATGCGTTCTCCATTTGGCAGAATATGAACCCTATAGTCCTGGATATGAATCTGCTCTTCAGGGTGCATAGATCTCTAATATTAGATTGAAATTCTTCTGTTCTTCTAATCACTTTTAAAAAAGAAAAGAAACCCTTAGAAGTAACTTTTGAACATTTTGGATATTTGCAGTTTACAGGTAGCTGTATTTAAATGAAATGAGTGGTTCATGAACAAAACTAACTCTCCTATGTTAAGCTTAACTAGAGCACAAGCCCGGATTGTCAGAACTTTTGGCGAAAAAACGTTCATGAAGGACTCCTTCCATATTTTATTCTCTGGAAAAAATAGCACTTAGGGTTTCTGTTTTCCACGTCAGGTCCTCCATGCTCAACAGCCCTAAACCTCTCCCTCACTTTCTTCCTCAACCTCTCCCTCTCACCTCTTTCTCACAGTTACTCTGTTCCCCTCAGTCAGTGCCGTTTTGCTGGTGCGGCAAAATTATTGTACTTCAAGGCTTTAGGTATTGCGTCCCTTCGACATGTCCAATGTAAGAAAACTTTGCCTATTCTCTCTCTCTCTCCCTCCCTCCCTCCTCTCTCTCTCTCTCCCCCTCTCTCTTTCTCTCTCCAGTTCAATCTAATCTTCTCGTTGCTGATGTTGTCAACCGACTACTCTTTCCTTCCAAAACCTCTTTTCATCTTTGAAATCCCATTTTATTCAATTAAATCTTTATTTTAGTCCGACAAAATGAGATTGTTCATTTTGATAGCACAATAAAAAGTAAATTTGACTGGAATTGGGAGGAACTCGCATTAGAGTTAAAACAGTAAAATCTGTTCTTAGTTAAGCTCGAGCCCAAACTTTAACTTGAGAAACAAAAGAAAAATATTTTTTTTTTAAACCCCTCCCAAATTAGGAGGATCTATAGTGTTTCCACACTTCGTCTCCAGCATAACTCGAACTCAAGACCTAACAGTCGTAGGTGGAGGTGCTTTTACCAACTGAGCAAGCCTCACTTGTCATAGAAAAGCAGTTTACGCTCTGGCAATAAGCAAATAGAGATGAACTTGAATATCCACAACTATGTATCGCTCCCTTATTCATGTTTCAATTTACAGACAGTATATGGTTCCACCCCCATATTCCTGAAGCAAATTATGGGGTATCTTTATTAGCTTATAAAGTTGAACAAATGTTCAATCAACTTAATTTCCAGTGATATATTTTGTAGTTAGAGTACCAGAAGCCCTTAAAGTTAATCGAACATGTGCTTTTCTTTTTATTCTCTTCTTCTTTCGTTCTATCCACCCAAAAATCTTACAACCTTCTTTGATTGATGCACGTTCCAAGGAATGGTCCAACAATAATTCAATCTCCCATTGAAAGCTGGCCTTTCATTTTGAGGGGCACACATGGACAAAATGTGGGGAGCTGCAGAAGGGGGATGTTTTTATTCATATTAAGAAGCACAAGGGAATGAAAAATTATTGCTATGCAGAAAAAGCAAATACTGAAAGAAAAACAATAAACTTTAACCAGGGAAACACACCAGAGAAGGACCAGCTTCAACCAAATATCGATGAGAAACATCCTCTGCCGTGAGCATAAAATTGTCATTAACTGTTCGACAGTTTTTCGTCTCAGTTGTATAACCTGAAAGTTAATTCCAGCATGGAAAAATTACTTCTTTATTTTCTTATTGAAGTGATGATAAGATGCAAAGACATCTGTTGTCACTTAGCCAGTAGATTAGACAACAGTAGCTTACCAAGAGAAATTGTGGACTTAAAAGGTCTGGAGCTCAATTCTGTCTCCTTTACAATTGCCTTAGTGGAACAAACTTTCTCCTCCTCATTCCAGGAAACAAGCTTACCACTATCCTCAGATTCATTATCAGACTCCAAACAAATTAGTCCATCAATTCCTGAAGAAAAGCTTATATCTAAGAAGAGCCGCACGTTCAAGTCAAAGAACTGCATAAGAAAAAACCTTTCACAAAGGCAAATCTATAAAATAAATCTTTTCAAACAAAATCTACCAAAATAGTGATGCAAGCCCTTCTGAGTTATAGCAGTCCACCTGTGCAAGGAAAGGTGTGGACAAAACCCTGAGGCGTAAGAGAATCATCTGAGGATTGACATTTCTTTTGTTAAAGTGTTACTCCCGGAGAATAGAATACCCAACTAGACCAGCAAATGAGAAGAATTCTACAAGTTTATGAAAGCTAGGTTGGCATTTTCGTAATTGTTTCATATAAACTTAATCCATATGCCAATGTGCCCATTTGAGTAAAAACTAAATATATATTAAGACCAAAATATCCCCTTAATCATCCTGTTCTTGCACCGGAGGAAAATACATATGAGGTATACACCTGACTAGCTCAAACCATTATGCCTGACCTCGACTCAAGGCACACGCTGAATCTGCCTTTGTGCACAATAACTGAATAGCAACACAATTCATAGGAGCAGTCAGGGTGATGCAGCACAAAGAGCAAACCGAACTTCCACTCGTCCATTTATGAAGAAGAATTACAGAAGTCTGCTACTATTAGTTAACATGATATGTGTCCAAAGGAAACAGGTAAACACACGGGGAAAAGAAGTTTTGACTCTTTAAGGACAGATTGTGATTGGAATGTGGCACATTTAATTTAAGTCACATTCTGGTGGCAGACCAGAGATACTGTAAATGCATTTCATGTTCTTTTTTTTATAAGGTAAGTAATTTTATTAATCAATGGGATAAAAACTCCCGTATACAAGAGGTATACCAAAAAGTAGAGGATCTGCAACAAAGCATGAGTCTCTATGAAAGGCACTCAATCATCTATACAAGTTGGAATCTAAAGGATGCACCAAAAAGCAATCAAAGAAAAAAAGCTATTCCTCAAATGTACAAGATCATTTTCAATCCCCTCAAACGCTTTCCTATTTCTTTCCTTCCATATAACCCACATGAGAGCTAGCGGAGCAACCTTCCAAGCCCTATGTTTTTTGATCCTACTTCTGAAAGCCCGCTGAGCAACACATTTCTGAGAGTACCTGGAATTACCCACTGTGTACCAAAGCAGTTCAGGGCCATCCTCCAGAGACCCAAGGCCATCTTGCAATGTATCAGAAGGTGATCAACTACTTCGCCCGAGCATTTGCACCATTTCATGTTCTTTATACAGTTAACTAGTAAAGTTGGAGAAGCAATGTTCCAGAAGGGCCTAGAAATGCGCGTTTATATAATAATATGAAAGCTTAAGCCTCAACGCCCTTGTAGGCTCATACTGCCTTGAAGGAAAAGCAACTATAATGCCCATGATACATCAACTAACGCCTAACGGTCAAGCTTCTGGATTGAACGATGATGACAAAGCCATCACTATAAAATAATGGAGTAACAGTTATCAAATAAAGAATAAACTGAGGATGACTGATGTATAACGTTAACTAATGACAGAAGGACCAAATGATTTAACTGGGATACTAACATAAATTAACTGTTACGTCTTACACCTTCTCCAAATATCATGAAGTATAATTCATTTCCTATGCATTTTAGAGTTTTTGCACAGTTGACTTGCACACAAATCTCTCATAAAGAACTATATATGAACTCTCCCAAAAAACTTTCCTGACCGTCGCTTGTAAGTTTTGCTATTTCTCAATTTTTAAATTGCTGGGATTTAAACCATCTCTGACTTGTGCTATGGGAATTAATTATCTTCTTCATAGAAGAAAATATTTGGTGTCAGACGTTTGCCTCTTGACACTAATCTAAAACCCAAGAAAAGAAATCCCTTCATAGTGGTAAATCTGATGTGACAATACTCGGCATTCAATAATAACTTTGAATTAGGCCAATTGAAAGCTTACCGCCATCATTTTTGTGGTCTAAAGTTGACGAAGAGCAATTCTGTGAAACAGTAATAGCTTTAGTACATCTGACTATGGGGACACTATACTTTGAAAGCTCTGATGCCGGTGTTTCAGCAACCATGGATGGGGTCAAATCAAGACCTGCAGGAGAGACTATTTTCATCAACACTTGTTTCCCTTCTTCCTTCTTTTTTTTTGAAAAAAGGAAGTCTACTATTGAATGCATAAATTCCCAAACTTCAGAGAAATAAGACTTAAAGGCACAAATTGCAACAGAAATCTCAGTGATGGAGAAAATCTACAACCAAGCCTTCAGCAATCATTCCAAACCACCCAAAATAAACAAAGGAATGTAGAAGATGGCATGTAGGTTAACAGAGTACAACAACAACAAAAAAAAAACCCAGTGTAGTCCCATGAGTGGGGTCTGGGAGGGTAGACAGTACGCAGACCTTACCCTTACAGTGAATGTAGAGAGAGGTTAACAGAGTACAGCATTAGCAGAAATTCAGAACACTTTTCAAGATAACAACCTAAGTCTCCAAAGAGCCATATACAAGAATTAATTAAATTCAGTGACAAGTGTCCAGCATCGTAGAATTTCAAGTTAATTTCTGAATAACCATAAAAGACCCAAAAACCAATAATTTGTCTAACAAGGGATTCACGGTCAATTAAACTTCAAGTGAAATACAGTTCACAATTATAAACAATTCAAAATGGTTTCTTAATGATTACTCAATATGCAAAAGTGCATAACGTATTCAGGGGCGGTGCTACCTTGTCCAAGGTGAGTCAATTGAGACCCTTTCCCATGAAATTTAGACTGTGTAGATAGGTAATTGTCTTGTACGTATGTGTGTGTGTGTGTGTGTATATATATATATATATATATATATATATATATATACTACACTTTGAATCCCCTTGCTTTCTTACTTCTTTATATTTTTTGAAATTGAACATATCACAAAAAGAACACAAATTAAACTAAATATCACGCGAAAAATTCCCAAATCCAAAATTGCAGATATTCACGTTGTTTTCTAAATAATCACTTAGAGACCAAAAACAAATAAAAGCTTATTTTCAAACAAATGTGTCCAAAATTGTGGTATTTCAGGATAATTGCTTCAATAACAGCTTAAATATCCAATAATTCATAATTCAAGCAACTCAAATTCAAATGAAAACCCGTCAAAAAGTAAAAGAAAAGGAAATATCGAACTCACCGGAAAACTTAGGGTTCAAAATTGAAGAGGAACCAAATGAGCATTTAACAAATGAGACTTCGGGTTTGGAAAAATCAGATAATGGGGTATCAGCGACAAATAAAGGAGTGGACTTTGAGGGTTTAAATGGTGTCGGGTCATCGTCATCGTCGATGATGAGGACTGGGGGCTTCAATTTAGTACTCGACTCCTCAATTTTTTGCTTCTTCTTGGACGGAATTGCCAGTGGCGTCGATAGATCAACGGTGTCGTTTTGGTTGACGGAGAAATAATCGGCGCTGTTGACAGCGTCATCGTCGTCGGAGAGAATGTCCACGGCGATCGGCTGAGACATTTTGAGAAGTTAGAAATATTAAATGCTTCTTTTTCGAAAGCGTCTTCAGTATTAGGGCGGGAAAGGAAAGGGAAGGGAAATCGTATAAGAGAAGGCAAATGGATATGTTTATGGATGAATTATTCTAATTTCATTTCCACATAGAAAATATTTCTTACTATGAGTAAATTATATTTTAACTATTTTGCCGTGTTTAGTTTGGTAAAAAAAAAAAAGTACCATGTAACTGTAATATAAGATAAAATATATGATATACGAATAATGTTCTGACTTCTGACAATGGTTTTTGGCAAGTGTTTGGATATTTTCAACAACAATAATTTTCAAGGGCTTAATACTAAAAAGAATGTTCATAACGTAAACTAATTTTTCAAAAATTATTTGTTGTCATACATAAAATATGCTAATTGAACTTGCATTAATAAGGTGGAATTTCAATTAAGTTATCAATTAGACATTTTCATGCTAGCAAATTAGGGAATGTTTTATCCCATAATATGAGACGTTTTGGTGTGAATTCGGATTTAATGGGCCATTAATATGATAACGGACATGCAGAGGTGTATCTATGTGTTGGAGCAAGGGCCGCATGAACCTAGGGGTGTCAATGGTTCGATTCGGCCGGTTATTTTATAAAATTTGTATCGCACCAATTTTTCAGTTATTATATTATGTATAACCAAACTTAGACTTTTAGAAACCATACCATCATGTTGATTTCTCTTCGGTATCGGTACGGTTCGGTAAATTTTCGGTATTTTTAAATATCATTTAAAAGTCACTGGTAGAAGCAGAATACAATAATATACGTACTTTTATATAACTTAGCAAAACTCTCTAGATATTTTTACTATTCGAATGAGAGCCTTGGCGTAACTGGTAAAGTTGATTCCATGTGACGAGGAGGTCACGGATTCGAGCCGTGGAAACAGCTTCTTGCAGAAATGCAGGGTAAGGCTGCATACAATAGACCCTTATGATCTGGCCCTTCCCCGGACCCCGCGCATAGCGGGAGTTTAGTACATCGAGCTGCCCTTTTTAAAGGGTGATGAATTAAGAAAACATGAAAGATGACTAGAGTATAGATCCATCTAAGCGTAAAAGAAACTAAGCAAATACAACAAAAAATAAATAAATAACCACACAAATGAAAAGATATTAAGCAAGTTGATACTTAAGAATAAAGTCTTTATATAGAAGATTAAATATTCCAAAATATAAATTTAAATCATACAAAAGAAAATATATTCAATATATTGTAATTTGCTACTCATAATCACTAGAATACCGCGTGTCTTAACAGTGAATATGCTGAAAATAGTTTAGTTCAATAAGAGTAGTATAATAGGTTTGAAAATTAGGATTTTGAATTTAATTAGTTGTTGCCTTGTAACCATATTCATAATTCCAATGCTCAAGGAAAAATTTATATTAATGCTTTATTATTTTTAAACTTAATATATAAATACATTTTCCCATGTAAATTTATTCGGTACGGTTCGGTAATTTTTTGGTTTATTTTCATAAAATAAAAAATTTACCCTAATTATCGGTATTGTTATAGATTTATATAAAAATCTACGGTTTTATTAAAAAAAACCTACAAATCGGTTCGGTCCGGTCGGTTTAGTCGGTTTTTAAATATCCATTGACACCCCTATGTGAACCCATGCTGCTCTCTTTATACCATGTATAATAATGTTATATTTCTTCAAAAATATTTAAATATACATGTGTACACCCAACCTCAAGTAGTCATATGGTTCAATGATTATTGAATGCACCTTTAAAAGTGAAGTTAGAGGTTCATTTCTGAGTTTATACTTTGTAAGCATATCTAGTGTCCCCTCTTGTGTTTAAATCAAGTATTTTTTTTTTCTATTTGGTTTATTCATTAAAAATCCCCAAATTTAGCACATTGAAATCCTTGAATCCCTTTGTCATCGCAAAATATATCTAAATAAAATACAACTAGTCTGGTTCAAAGGGTGGCCGGTAAAGACATATCAAATCCATGACTGACACTTTTCAAAAAAGTATAAATCTAACTCCCGAAATTAAAGAAAGAAGAAAACTGGCAAGATCTATTACTCAGGGAGAGACATCCAGAAGAAAGACAAATAATTTCAAGAAAAAAGAATGCTGAAAAAATAGAAAATATCATTACGTAGACATTAAAAAAAATTGACAAAAGATAAACACACATATGTGTGTGTGTGTTAAAAATCGCTAAACTTTTAAGAAATTTTTTAATTTTAACATATAAATTTTATATTCATCTTTTTGTAATAGTGCACCCTTTTTTTTTGGGAATCTTGGATCCGCCTATGCGAACATCTTGTGGTAAACCAAGAAAAATAAAGATTTTCATGCTTGCTGATGTTTGATTATAATTCAATATTTTATGACACTACTTGTCTTATATTTTGAGGATTTAACGATAGATTGCGTGGTGTTTGAGCTTAATTGAGTTGGTTTTATATGTAAGAACATTTGAACGTGAAGTGGAAAGAAAATTGGACAAAATGGCATTGAGACGTGAAAGTAAAGCACGAATGAAAAATCGACACCAAGCACGGAAAGGACGACGCCCCATACACACTCCAGGGCGCCAACCCTATCGTGCTCCATGGCGCTTCGCGAGGCGCGGAAAGATGCCTAGCGAGGAAAAGGCAACGCCCTAAATGCCGCTTCACATTGACACTCCATGCCCGAGAAAAATTAGTTTCCTTATTGATTTTGGACTCGGACACGCCGATTTTTATCTATAAATACCCTCTAAACTCATTTTGGATGGGTTGAAAATATTTTAGAGGCAAGAAGGACTGCAAAATACAATTGGAGCCCGAAATCATCACATCCTTCACCCATTTCTCTAGTATTTGTAGTTTTATGACTCAAAATACTTTAGTGATTGTCCACATTGTCCATACAATTATGAGTGGCTAGAACCCCTCTTGTTCTGGGGTTATTAGTAGTTCTTGATTGTTGATATTTAATGGTTGATGAGATTACTTGATTATATCATAATGATTTGTTTATACAATATTGTTCTTAATTACTTAATTGCATAACTAACAATAGAATACTATACACGAATTTATAATTGAACTCTAAGGCGGAAGCTATAAATTGCATATATGATTGAATAAAGTAAGATTTTGAATCTGGTCATGAGAGAGCACATTCGCAATTAGGATAGGCATATGATAATTGTATTACTTGGTTATTTTTGCGGGAGTTACTCATGCGTTCTAGTTAATTAATTTGATTAAATAGACATAAAATATTATATTTGCTTGAATATGCAAACGAGGTGTCCAAAGAACGCTGTGAGCAAAATTAAGTCTATTAATCAACATATCAGATAGATTAAGCATTTAAATCAACCGAAAAACACAACGGAATAGGTACTAATCCATAACCCCGAAATATCCCATCAGATAGATTAAGCATTTAAATCAACCGAAAAACACAACGGAATAGGTACTAATCCATAACCCCGAAATATCCCATCAGATAGATTAAGCATTTAAATCAACCGAAAAACACAACGGAATAGGTACTAATCCATAACCCCGAAATATCCCATCAGATAGATTAAGCATTTAAATCAACCGAAAAACACAACGGAATAGGTACTAATCCATAACCCCGAAATATCCCATCAGATAGATTAAGCATTTAAATCAACCGAAAAACACAACGGAATAGGTACTAATCCATAACCCCGAAATATCCCATCAGATAGATTAAGCATTTAAATCAACCGAAAAACACAACGGAATATGTACTAATCCATAACCCCGAAATATCCCATCTAATTGAGTTTGCTCTTAAGTTATTCGTGTGCTCTACTTGCATCATTGTCTCTTTGCGTAATTGTTATTTTTCGGATTTTAGTTATGTCAAAACACAATCATCTTTAGGAAAATTACTTAAACAATTAATTTGTAATTAGTGTAGTTTAGTCAGTAGTTAATCATAAGTACTCGTGGGAACAATATTTTCTTATCACTTTATTACTTGTTGATTGCATATACTTGAAATTTGGACTAACGTTAATTGGTTATAGCCTGAAAGGATAGTGACGTGACCCAAATGGTGGATATATAAAAGGCATAATATTAAATACTATGTGTGTGGATAAGTGAGGCCCAAATATAATTGGCTTGTGATGGATAGACACTCTTTATAAATAGAGGCCAACCCCCCTTTCCCTAGCTATTAAAAACCCTAGTGTAGTCTGTCTTTGGAATACGTGGTAATAGTAGACGTCCATCAGTCAAGTTCGCCAGACTGTGAGAGCGGGTAGTTAGTGGATTGTGGAAGTTGGTCTCAGGCTTAATCGTCGTTTGTTGTCATCGTTGAATCGATATAGTTGAATGGTACGCTTTCTTAAACTCTAACTCTAGATTGATTGTATAATTGTCTCTTAATTTTTACTATGGCTACAACTTAATTATCTTACTATTGGTATAAGAGCCACCATAGTTAGAAATTAAGATCAAGAATTAATCTTCAATTTAAACGAAAAATAATTGTTGTAAGTTTCGGATGGTAGTTCGTCATTGTTTTTACTGAAACATTGTTTAATCTCTTATGTGGCCTTGTGATTAGATTAAAAAAAGGAAGAAAAGTTGATAACGAAAAGTTGTTGGTAGCGATAAGAAGCCCTGAGTGGCTTAGTCAATTAAACCATTCCTATTTTGTAAAGGAATAGAAAGATTCCTTTACTGAATTTTGTTTCATGTGATTTGTATTGAATTGGACGTGATATTGGAATAATAAAAATTCCTTTTACGAAAAAGTTAGATCTTTTTCAAGTTTACATGGAAAGCTACAACTTGGATATGTTGAATATAATTTCTAATCAATTTTATTTTTTTGTCTTATCAAAAGATTGTTTTGTTTCATGTCCGATATAACAATTGTATTGAAGTCTGTGTTTGGTGTATTATTTGTATACAAAGTACGAAATTAAATTCAAATATAATACTGAACGATTTAATAGTATATGGGCTTATTCACATGTATATGGTACTACTTAAATAAGAATTTATGATTAA